AAAGCGTCACTATGATAACGAACCAGAGTGATTAGGAAAAGAAGGCGATTGAAGACCTATCCGACGAACCACACTTAACTTCTGAAGAAAAGGAAAAATCTAGGCAACTGAACAATAGTGGAATTTACCAATTCACTGACATACAGTCTTTTCAGATACTTATTTTCGATATTACATCCACGGCAAAGAAAACATTCAGGCTACTGTGATTTCAAATCCAAAATAAAGTCTATATTATAGTATGCTGTGATATTCACTCATTATATACGAGTATTCTCATTATCGCGTTTTGATATCATTTTCAGTTTACTAGAACCAGGCACAGTCGTATTACAAGGATGTTTACTGGACAGCAGCGAAATAATCAATAGCTTACAATTCTGTCCAGAATGTAATTACTTTACATTTAAGGGGAATTCATATAGACGGACAAATGGTGTTGCTATCGATTGACTGATTTTTCCAATAGTTGCTGGTCTTTTTATGAATAGATTCGGGGATAACATCTTTTCAAGCATACTCACGCCTAAAATATGGTTAAGATAGGTCGATGACAATTTTGTTGTGCTGAAACAGAATCTACACAATTCCTTCTCAGAGTAACTAAACAATCCATCGCTGAAAATCCAGTTTACTTCAGATACAGAATCATACGTCACTGAACTACCATTTCTAGACTGCCTAGTTGAGAGGAGGGAAAACAGACATTTTAGTATATCCATATTCAGGAAGAAAACCCATTCCAACACATATTTACACTTCGAATCGCCGCAGCCCATCAAAGCAAATCTAGCAGTTTTTTGAAGTCTTCTTTGACGAGCACACCTATTGATACCATTTGCGAAGGGAAAAATAGATTACTGAGACTCTCAAACAAAATAACTACCAAAATAACTTAATCAGCAAAATTAACAATGGCATTAAGTAAGGTCGGAGACGCATTCCGAAAACATGGAACTAAACAGTAGTCTTTACTTGTAGAGTAGAGACGTCAGAGGATATCAGAAGAGACCCCAATGAGCAGGGAGTCAGAGTTTTCTTCCAAACATCAGACACAATGCGAAGCAACTTTGTCCACATAAAGGATCAAACCCCTTAAAGATTATGTATCCAATTGTGTCTATAAAAAAAACACGTGGAATGTGTAGCGTGATATATCGGACAAACATCTCGAGAAATAAAAATCGGAATGAATGATTACCGTAGAGCATGCTTTCGACCACCGAGAAATACAGTTGAAGAAGAAAAGCCTGAAAATTTATCACTCGTAGGCTACACGCTAAAGAATCAGACCACAAAATTGATTTTGACAATATTGAAATCATCATCCAGAAAAATTTCATTAATTACGAAGAACGTCTCATATCATCAGAAGCACTTCCTTTCAAATGTAATCCAAACTGTCTGAATAGGAATGATGGACTAAAACAGAATCTGACCTGGTTACAACACCTCCCTCCAACATGAAGTGACAAAATCAACACGAATATAATAAGCTTCTTGATTATGTAAAAACATGCTGGTTTTATAACTTGATACACTCATCATCTAATAATGTACACCTGCTTTTGTTATCTTTACCAAGTGACAACTTGAAAACTTTAAAATTACTCCATGCTGATGAATCATGGCTCTATTTCTACATATAAGCTGAGAATTAGTAAATTCTGGTTTAATGACCCTTTGATTAAGCTACTAGCGAAACGTTAGTAGGAACAATATCGCTTTGTTTTTTTGCATTCGGAAATATAAACAACCTTCATTATAATGAATATCATATTCCTAATGCCCAATTTTTTTTCAAATTCTTAAAAGTGAACTTTGTTTGGACATGATCTAGTAATTCATGTGTTGCGGTTCGAAACTCTGATAATAAATTTCAAAATGTCTGCACTATTTGTCCCAACCGTTAGGTATTTAAAGTACGAAACAAAGCTCGGCGGATACGAAACCGGAAGTTATTGAAAGTATTCAGAGCCAACAAACAGGCTCGGGAACACTATACAGCATAATTAGCGAATGGAGAACACAAAGGTATATACAGTTCGGTAACAGAACATTTGGTGAATTCAGCCCATTCAACTTCATTTGAAAAGTCTTTCAAAGTCACATACACCGTCCGGTCACATATATTATAGGAAGTGAAATCAAAGCATTAAGGAATAGCTGATGTACTGGAGACTCAAAACTGAAGCCTGCTCTATATGTGTTCAAACGAAATAGGTCCAACCGTTGTCCTTATACTGGCCATCATGCAAAGGGATCCCCGCCAATAATGATTAACCCGTTGCCTTTCTCGACCAACTTATCTGTCTATGTCTGTTATTTTCACGTTTTTAATTCTTTTCTTCAATACTAGATGTGAAAGCTGCTTTTTAAAATTTTTTAAATGTCTATTTTGTTGATAATATGTCATTTAGCCACACTAACACGAAGTGACACGTTTTTCCAGTAATTATAATTTTATTGTGTCTTTCCTAACCGATCTTCCAGATTATTACAATTTGTAGTTTTATCAACTTGACCTTTGACCTAAAATATTTCCAGAATACTACCACAACTTATCTTCTGTTTGATATAAGAATAAAACTTGTGCACTGTGGTAGAGTGAAATTCCATTATGGGTAAATTTTTGTTTTGATAAAGTCTCACAGTGTTATACAGTAATGTTTACTGATGACGTTTCGAGCACAATTTATTGCTTGATATGATTATGAGCAATAAATTGTGCTCAAAACGTCATCAGTAAACATTACTGTATAACACTGTGAGACTTTATCAAAACAAAAATTTACCGATAATGGAATATCTTCTGTTTATTAAACTCAGTAAATTTATGAATTCAAGCCTTCCCTGAAAATAATTCTGGGAATTTCTCACACAAACAATACAAAAGCTCGACTGTACAGCCTAGCTGATGACTTAGTTGCAAAGAAAAAACTCTTCGCGAAAACCTTATTTTCACTAATCTTGCGTAAGCACAATAACTTCTGTGTAGCACAAAGTCAACATAACACTCCATATTGATCTCGCAATATGGGTTGGTGATAATGTTGGATAGGTTATCAATATGATAAGTATATGTGAAATCTGTGGTAATTTCAATCTGATAGCCTGTATGTACGAGATGAGCCCAGTACAGATTTTTGATAAGATTAGATTTTTGATTAGTTGCCGTTACCCACCTCCATCTCTTCTTGATTCCCAACTTGCTGTAATGGATTTATCCGAGTAAATGAAGGGAGAATTTACTATGAAGAACGTTGGGAATTCATCATTGGCTGTATTCATATTGTTCATGACGAAGCTATTAACATTACTGATTGCTTTAATTACTGTAGTAGTTGAATTTTCTTTACGTAAAATAGGATATGCAGGGTATTACTACAAGCAAAATCTCACTATAGGTGAAAGTTTTTGATTCAACAGCATACAAACAGATCATATTTACGCAATGAACTAAGTGAACAATTTCCTTATTTTCTTCGATTACCAATTTAAGTGATTAAATATCATTCTAGACTACAAGGACGGTGATGATGGAGGTCACATAGACAATTCTTCCGACAACGTTTGACCAAGCGACATGAAGTGATGATTCTTCGTCAAGACCACACCACTGTACAACTTGATATAGCAACTACCAGACAATCAACTAATAGTTTCCTTCACTGGATTGTAAAAGCATGCATTCATATTACCGAGTTTCGTTTAGTATTTCCATGTGTGATGATTTAGTTTAAGAGTCCTTCGCTCTACCTGAATCGGACATCCTATTTTTCTGACTGAGTCACATATTCAAAAGACGATTTCATCGTCAAAATACATAACGTCGAAGGAAGAGTCAACCAACACTCAAATTCTCTTAATGAGTGATAGACAAACTCATGAAAAACATAATTCAGAAGAAACTGTTGTACAGATACAAAAATGAAATTTCTAGTGCAGAAATATTAATTTATTCTATAAATTAAAAATGTGAACTGTCAATTAGTCAGGCAGTTACATGCATAATAAAATGTGTACGCAAGCACAAGTGAATATCCCTTGTCACAATATGATTGATAGACCGATGTGTTATTCATGTTATTTCAATGAGCTGACAAAAACTAGAACCAACTGAAAGGGAAAAAGTAACCAATAGAACAACATCATTTTTCTGAGTTTCAATTGAATATATGCCAGTCTGTTGACTGAATATAAACTCCTGATTTACATTAATGAATAAAATCAACACTGAGATCTACAGAGAATGTGATTTGGAATTTTTAAATAACCTCGACCACACCACGAAGGCTTGTCAAGGTAGACTTCACCTCTGTTACAAATTGTTTATGATTTCTCATCTCCAACTAAACCCCACAGCTGATACATAGGGAAATTTCTTAATTTCAAAGTAAAACTGTGAACTTACTATAGCTACGGCAGTGTTCCATAATCCACCAGCCAATTCGGAATATTTCATCTGAAACGAGTTGAGATAAATTACATCCGGAATGTTGATCAAGGATTACAGCAGATCAAATGCACAATTCGAGTATAAGTAACATGCCAGTAAAACTGAGTGTTGTCAAATTGAACAAAACTACAAAATATGTATGTACAACAACGCAGTTTTCCGATTAATTCAATGAATCAGTGAGATAAATTAGGCAACAGTTAAACGCATCTTTTCACAAGAATTAAAGTTTAAAATTTCTTACCACTGTGTAATAGAACGTTTCGTCATTATCATAGAATTACATAGTAATTTGTATTTTAAATATCAAATAAGTGCGAAACTGTTTCTCAGATGGGCGAATGTACTTCAGTTCTTGAATTGCTGCATAAGTACACCTAGTTTCTCCTCCTCTGGTTATGCAAAGATGTAAGGTCTCAAGAATACAGAGATAGGTATAAGGCTGGAATTTCGCGTTAGTAATAGTAATATTTAGTTAACAGTTCTAGTTATGTTAAAACCTTAGAATAAAAAGGATAATTTGATATTTCAGTGGAATTACCTGACGCATTTCTAAAAAAAACAAAACTGCTCCAGTTATCAGAAAAGCGATCGATACAGATATCAGAACTATTATCACCACTGGTTTGAATCTTTTGACATAGATGCAGGCGATAATTGTTAACAAATCTTCCAGAATAACGAAGCCCAATAAAAAGTAACACTTAAAATCAGGCCCTCGGCAATACGTAAAACAGATAGCTCCAGACCATAATGCAATCTGTTGGCAAAAGAAATTAGACATTCTGAACATCTGAGTTGGAAAGTTTTAACATTTTTTTCACAAAATTGACATAAACATAGAAGTTTCATATAAAATTACAGCGAATTTCAGTTAAAATGTCCTTGCAGTGTAACTTTTAGTGATGTGAAAATTCCTCATAGAAAAGTGAATGTTGGTTTCGCGTTTATTGAGTGGGATCAACGTTGTATAACTACAACTGTGGACGGATTCATGAATCCCCAGTATCTTGCATGTACCTAAAGAAAAGGTGTACAATGTTTCTGTTTCTCGTTGCATTTCGCGGTTTAGATGAGAAAACGCAATTTCTGTTGTACTCTAAACCGTGAAAGTGTCAGATCTCAAACGGTGAATCCCGCTACACTTATCAAAATGCATTCACACGTACACAGGGAGGACACATCGATCTGTGCACATAAGGTCTAAAGAACAGATTCGTTGACATATAGATAGATAATTTCACCTCAATTAATTTGTAATCAATCATGATTTTATACTCATCCGCTGAACAAGTTTCGTAATTTTCTTTAATTCAGTGAAGCTTTGCTTAAAAAATAAGGTATACTTGCGATATAGTTCGACGTCAAAGATTCGTGCATGTTGGTTTCAGAGGTTTTTTAAGTCGAGAACATATAATCAACCAAAAAGTCGCTCATACTGGAGTGAATAACAAACCTTAACCTCAATTTCAGTGGATCACTTAGTTCCTGTGAGGCGATATTTTGCCACATCATATTCGACAAACGGTATTTTATATGAGGTATACGGTCGGTGTTGTTGTTGTTTGTGAAAGCAAATCAAAATCAGAAAACTTATTAGGAGAATTAATCTTTTATCATCCGAATGTTAACTTCACAGCTAAACACGTGAAGAATAATACGAAGACTATATAAGAAGTTATTGTTCGTAACAGACCATACAAAATGTGTCTTAACAGTACAGTTGAATGTTAAACAAAGACTGCGATGGATATCTCATTTACGATTAGTATATCGAGAGTGGTTCATAGATAAATCTTCTTCAGAAAGATGCCACAGTACAGCCATCTAAAATACGCTGGGATTCATTTAAATAATTTATAATGAATCAATCTGACTCGGTGATCATATTATTCCAAAAAGTTGTTAACATCTTAGGTGCGGAAACTTACATCTATCCGACAGTTTTGAAGAAAGCTACAAATAACACTCTGCAATTTAGAGGGTGTTACGTACAAGATAAAGTCAAAAAAGACTTGATCTACAAGTAGAATTAGCTGTGCTGCAAAACTCGTGTACATTGACTGCACCAAGTGACTGCTTCAACAATCTGGAAAAGAGCTGTCGCCAATCTTCGACAGTTCGAATTGTGTATTTCAACTTGAGTGTGTTTGTGTAAACAAATAAACAGATCGTAGGAGGAGGTGATTGCCTGTTTGCATAATGCAACTTTTGGTAGAGTGACTGAAATCACCTGCAGTCAAGGTATCAAAATATCCAATTTGTAGACTGGAGACTTAATACTGACTCTATCAAGTCCTTCACTTCTGTCATTAAACAAAGGAAAATGTGTGCAATTGCGGAGGCTTGTGAAATTAGGGTTCGTAAACTTAGTCTCCGTGTACAGAAAGAAATCGCGATCACTCTGAATCCACTACGTCAATTCACCTTACTTATTACCTGTTGTTATTATTGTTATTAATTTATTCTACCTCATTATTATCCTTCATTCATTTGAAAACATCCTTTATCAGTAGTGGTATCTTAAGTCGTTTTACTATTCATATTATTGTCATTGATATTATTATCAATATGACTTAGTTTGATGTTCCACCGAAATTTGGTGAATTTAATAAATTCTGCTTTATTATCCCATGTTGCTTCCTAAAATATAATCCATTTTTGAGTGAATATAAACAATATAAACAAAATTATCTCGAGAAAACGAAGCTTATTCATAAACGTGAATCTCTGAGGAACTTACTATAATTCCTATCAGGATCAATGAAATTCTCAAATTATTCTTAAATACTAAGAATAGAAATACACACAGGATCACAGTCCATACTCTAAAATACAAATGCAAAACAGCTGTAATAAATTCCGGAAGATGAAAGGAGTTTTCTATGTAAAAACATTCAATAGCCCTACATCCATCATTCCTTGCTAGTTCATACTTTTATCCGTGCAAATAATTTGCTGTTAAGAAAAGCAGGAGTTTCCACATATTTGGAACAGTTGAGGAATCATTCCTTGTATATACTCACTCATATGATATCAAAACTACAGCACTGGTTATACGTTTATTGATCCGATACATTATTTAAAATCAGATAAACTCAGTTACGCTATACTGTTCGAATATTCCAAAAAGGTTCATTTTGTTACGTTTCGCAAGTTATTAGTTACCCAAGTTTCAACAAATCCTTTTCGTTTCAAAGTATTCATTGCTTGCCTACTAATACCATTTTAGAAACAAAAGCCTAATATTTGTCCTGGGGAAAAGAATTTTCGATCATGTTTGTACTCTTTCTATTTGTTTTTCTTGTTATTAACAATATTATACAGAGTCCGATAATCGGAATAGTCTTCACTCAACTAGCATCTCAACGCAGGTACAACTGAGGAATTACTAAATATTTATTCACACGGACTTAAATTCAAATATTAGTTCTTTTGCATAACTTTAATCAAACCAATATTCACAGCAAACAGATGGGCATAATTTTGTATCATCGCCGGTAGACCTTGATGATGCCACACATCCGATTAAGACAGTGTCTACGTAAACAAGAAAATACTTCAAATCTATAGTAGTCAATAGTTTCTCTGATTATTTAATCTATAATTTATTTTGATTATAGCTTGATTCCACACCGTATTTTCGCTGCAATTATGAAATTTTAAGCGTGTGATATCGGTAGCCCAACTTCACAGGCCAACCATTGATATCGGGTGTGCGTTGTTAGGGGGTCTAACTTCGGACCATGTGCATGGTCGACGGCAATCTTAACTGCTGTGCCATCACCGGACACCACCATTTCAAGATTTGACTTTTGCGGTTATAATCACGAAGTGATGTGAAGGTATTTTAGGTCATTTACAGTTAATATTGTAAATCTCAAAGATTGCGGGAAGGAAGATTTACAGACAAGTGATTGCTGCATAAGCCGTCCACTGAGCACCAAAACTTTCGTTCGCCTGAAGAAAAAGTATTTAGTTCATGTTAGTAAAAATTCTGATATCGTTCATAGGTAACTGATTCTAAACAAAATCAAGAAAGCTATTTTGGCGCGTTGCCCATGGTTGTTACACATTTGGTGACTGTTGATTTTAGATAGAACCAGTATGTCCTTATTTCTCAGCATGAATGATTTAATGCATGAACATTGCCTACATATATGAGCGATGACATCGATGAATATGTTATTCGTGTGACAATTTCATATCTTACAATATTCAAAAGTTGGAGTCGATATCAAACAAAAAATAAGATTGTAATATCTCAGAAACAAAAATTCGGCCTGAAACATTTATCACTATACACGTGGAAACATGACAACCCTCAGCGTTTGAATTGACAGTTTTCATTTAAACCATAACTGTTCCTCTAAAACATGTCCTCACATATGCACAATGTTCGGAATTGCAATCAGTAATGGGATGTGTCAATAAAATCCCTAAAAAGAATAAAAAGGCGTAAATCAACAGATTCTCTGATGTTGTGATGACTGCTCAATATACATATCAAATATTAAATCTCATAAACCATGAAATCATGAAATAAGAATGCCTAAGATTAAACAAAGAATGCAGCCATTGATGACAAGAAAGTGACAGTAACTACAAATCATAAGAACTGAAGTGCTCACCTCTAAAATGGCAATCATCTTACACCAGACGCTATGAAATGGACTTACATCATTGCTTAACTTATATGTAAATATATATTCACCTAATTCTCTGAACTTTGTCTCAAACTTTGTTTACATTCATGCTGAAGTGTTTACCAACTGGTAATAAAAACTTCAGTGCACATCGAACTTGTTTATATTCAGAAGTAAAATAAAGTCGTCTAATGCATGTTTATTTAATAATTTAGATCACGACTGAAAATATTTTTCTACTATCAACCAGGTGGCTAATTCATAGAACAATGGAATATTGAAAAGTCAAAAAATGATGAAGTTACACTAACATTATTCGTGTGATAGTTTCTTTCATTATGTACGTTTACTGGATGACTGTGTTTCGAGTCGTCAGCGCGTTTATTTTCTACTAGATTTACAATGAACTCTATACTGAACAGTTTCTGCTCCAATCTTTGGAGATCCTGTAATACCTTCAACTACATTTCTTAAAGTAATCGTCATTTTCGTCTTATCGATAATTAGTCAGATAGATATTTTCTTTGGGCTGTGAAATCCACTAGTATTCCTACTTTCACAGTGAATAACTTCAGTATTCTTCAAAATATTGAAGTATAACTTCAATTAAATATATATGATAAAAACACTATGTTACTGAATTCAAGAATGAAGTGGGCTGTTCACTAAATAATTCACAATAAGTTAGCAGAGTCAAGTCTTACACGTTTTTTATCAGATGAAATTTGTCTCAAAAGAGGTATCGCAGAATATTTATGATAAGTCGATAAACCGAAAAATCCGTAACGGCCACTGTTACTCCTTCATGCTGTTATGAAGGAAGAGAGTTTTATAAAGGGAGAATAGCCTGCAGATAAAAAACAATTTTAGCTAATTTTATTTATGTTGACTCTAATAAACGTACGTTTAGTTTACATCCGATACTTTTGAAGCAATATATGTTACTGCTTTGCTCTCTATCTCTAGTTCAATGATCAGTTGTTTACATCCTTTTCATGCATTTTGAAGTTAATGTCAACGAGTTAATTGTCCCTTCACTACACGTTTTTAACCTGTTGCAGAGGCACTATTAACTGAAATAAAAGGAATATATGCTAATTGTAGGGAATAATTATCTGCATTGATGAGTTTAATGAAAAATGATGTAAGACTAACACCTTCAGGTAATGATTGATGAGTGTAGTTACAAAGTTGTCTTTAAATTAGAATTGATTCGTGAATGCTGACAACTGCAAATCAGAAAATTTGTGACGCATAAAGGCGATTGCAAGTAAGGATGTATTGTTCTTCCCAAACTACGATTTTCATCAATCACCAATGGATTTTCTTCAATAGGTGAATAAGTTATCAGGTAGATAGCACGAGCTTCCATGATTAGCATTACATACTAAAGGGAAAACTTCGAAATAGTCAGTCGTAAGGGGAGAGAGCAGTTATGGATATGAGTATTTTGTCTTTAATGAAATATAATATTGAAATCTCCAGAATAAAAACAGAGTGTGAAATGATTCATATTTGCGTAGTAAAACATCTAGAAAAATTTCGAATTTAGCGAAAAATATCAAACACAGGATAAACGTATGATACTTTTTGTCAGTGTGGCAATCGTTGATTCCTACTGACTACTTATTTACACTAAACTGTAAAGCACACGAATAGTCAAATCGTTTCAGTTAACTTCTCAATGTTTACAAAAGAAATAATTCTCAAATCACTTATGAAAGGTAGATTTATCGTTATTGTTTTTTTTTGAATAATGGACTTTGTTCAACCCTAAATACAATAAGTAGTGAAATAATGTAAACATGTTCAGGCGATGGAGAATGTAATGTTAGGGATTATTTTGTTCACTTCACAACTCCCCACTTATTCATTACGCTGAGTTAGACTTACAGTCTCGACGATTTAGAACTCTGTACTCTAAAATTATTCAGTGTTTTTCAGTAATTGTTAGTTAATACAATAAAGACTTTTTACTCTATATGTGAATTCAACAAATATTTCGTTTATTAATGACGAGATTCAAAGTCTAATATTAAGTAAACACTGAGATTAGTAAACACGTCTGATTCGCATGACAGCTGATTTCATAACGAAGCTGGATTTAATTTAAAATAAGGGTTACTCAGTGACTTGTAATATTCAGTGTAAAATGAACTACACAACCAGTAATATTAGGAAGCGAGATAAAATACAGTACTACAAGTGGGCATAGAGTGAGGTCAAATGAAATTAAGACAGGAAATTCGGCTATCACACCACTCCTTTTTCGTTAACACTTGGAAGTCTGGTGTTCATGTAATTTTCCATCTCAGAATAAATTTATCTGATCGAATCACCCAGTGATGCAGTATTATACATTCACAACAATTCGAACACAATAAAATGTTCATAATCTTATCAAGGCAATAATTAAAATAACTTTCAAACTTTGTTTACAAAATTTCCTTGTTTCACACTTTTTGGTGTAATTGGTAATGATATTTTCACGTTTCTGGTATTAACATTTCGTCTATCATATTGCATATTGTTAGGTGTAGATTGGATGAAAAAGATTCAGTGACCAGCATCTCACTCAACCTGCCCATATTACATTTTATAATTGTAGTGAAGCTTTGTTTATCGGATCAACACTGCACCTTTGCTATCGGAATGACACAACGCCTATACCGGAGATATGGAAAGTGACAAAAAACAACAAAAGGAAGGTGTAGAGATGGAGAGAAAGAAACTAAATATTAGACAATATGTGAAGATGTGGGACTAAAATGAAAGGATAATGAGCAATAACTTATACTGGAAACGTCATCCAGTTGCTACCACCGCATCACTGTATGATTATTATTAAAATGAACTTATCTCATGTGAAATTTGATTCTTCTACTGTGCCCAGAGTTCAACACTTGCATTGGCAAACACATTGTCTTGGTTCACCTCATTATTTTTAGTCGTACTAACACCTTTCGTTTACGTTTTCACAAAAGGCACAATTTACAACAATTATCGTACCACATTTCAGAATTTTTTGGATTGCACTGGTGGGTGAATTTCGGAACACTGCTGTAGGTTTTGTAAGTTAGAACAGATTGCTATCTTACCTATTTGCGAAAGGAATGTCAGTTATGCCAAAACCTTCCTCTGCAATGAATCACTGCCAACATACATTTCAAATCATTAACCTCATCACTAAAACAGCTATGAATCACATTGAAGGCATCTAAAATTGTACTGGTTGAATTGTTAGATTTATTTTTAATGATATAACAGGTTAACAAGCTGATCAGAAAGTTAACAGTTCTTAAACCATAACTGCTGTTGTTTTATTTTTTGTAGGCAGCGCTGATTATCATAGATTTCCTTTAATGAATTTATCATATCTGAACTACGCTAAAACACATCTTCCAATTTCTCATCCGTATTTTATTTATTGTGCTAATATATTTCTCAAAATATGAATGCTAAATATTGATTTTATGACAATTACTTCTTGAAATTCTTTCAATAAGTGATATGACAGCAAACCTCACAGCTTCATTTGCATACCACTTGTTTCACAGAAGAGTATATGTTTAATGAAATCATAGCTGGAAGAGTATTTAATTGTTTCACCCGGAAAAAAAGGTTGATTGGCTTTCTGATCTCAGCATCAAACGTTAACGTTTCAAACTGTTGAATAGAACAGTTTAAGGTGACGTATTTTGGCTAATAAAAAACTTAGAAGAAAACACAATATTTTGAAAGATAATGAAATCGGATGGTGGACGAGGAGTATAAAGTAAATTATTGAAGAACAGTTAACTCTCATCCAATGATGGATTCTGAGCAGATCAACCACCCATTATCAAGATTTTTGGTATTTTACTGATAACTATATTACATCCAAAATAAATTCCTATTCGGCACGTTAGGAGCTAATGACTGCGTATTCACTGTGACAACAGCAACGTTGTATTCACGAATTTAAAAGCCACCGGTTATCGACGCATTAGGACTTTTATCCTCTCAGCATTATGTAAAAGTTAAGACATGTGCTGGATAGGCGTCGTCATAGCGTTTCTATTCCAGTGGTGACATAACTCACTATTCATCACTATGTTGCTAGAAATTGTCGACAGTGTGCACATCAGGCTTTGAAGCTGTGGATTCATTTAGGCCAGATGTGAGGGACTGAATTATCATTCCTAATAGCCCTTCTTTACGATGACAGGCTGATAACGTAGAAAGATTCGTAATAAAGTATATTTTCACTATCTGTCACTAACAGAGGGCAGTGCGTCACAGTGGCTGTTTTGGACTTCAAAAACAACAGTTCAGACGTATTCGGTTCAAATATTCTCAAATAAATTCCTCCGTTCCATCAAGGCTTGGAGCCAAGTTGCGTGCAGAACTCTCAAACTCCTACAATTATTTTTGTACTAAAAATATTAAAAGGCATTAACACTAAGATCAATGAGCACTGTTGGTTGTGAAGCAATCGTTTTCGTCAACAATTTAGATTGTGCTTTAGTAAAAGTATGGTCTTTAGATAGTAATCAACGCGGATTTCAATCCTGCGAAGCTCATCAGACAAATTTACATGTGCAAGCTATTCAGTAATATTCTCCAAATCTTCGACAATCAAGCATTTTTCTATCTGCACTGCTGTTTATGTTCGAAAGCAGCACAACAAGCACCAACCTATTTAACTTGCCAAACAAAATGCAGACTTCAGGCAAAAGACTTTACATGGTTCCCTAGCTATTTGTGAAAATATTCTAATCTCATTCTGTGAATGTCGAAGTACGTGAGGTGACTTTGCTTAGTTGACATCCAAGCAATGCGCCTCTTATTGCTCTCCAGTTTAATTCACGTTATTGTTGAGCAAATAGGTTCAAAATCAATAGCTGACTTAACTCAGGTTCTGTGTTAGCCAATCCTGGTGTTAAATCAGTAAATATGTACATCACATATTTAGAATATTAGGACTGCACGGATGAAATGTGGTACGCTGAGTTCGAATTTCTTACGGTTTCTCTTCATAAGTGAAT